CATTGGAAGACAGAAATGTCTGTGTCAAATGACCATCTATAAAGCATCTATGTTACTTCAATTGAAAATATTCTGTGCTATAGTTACCTACACAGTTTCAAAGGCTTTATATGATGACATGACAAACAGGAGGAGCAGATTTACATAGCAATCTTTATATTTCCCTCCAATGATTTCTGCGCCAGGAAACTTTCTGTATCACTTCTGGTTTAAGGGATGTTTATCTACCTATATACCATTAAAGCTGATTCCTTAACCTTCAACAGTACACCAAAGGCCATATGGCCAAATGTTTTGAAGCAAGGTACCCCAATGGGTTAACTTATAGAATGCATCCAAAATCTGGGATCCATAATTCTCATGTAATTGAAATTTGGAAAAATTTTATACAACATGACATAAAAAGGATCACAAAGCAGTTTATGATATAATACAAAATATCATAAAATATTACTTGTGCTGATGTTTGAATGTGCTATATATTTCAACACTGGCTATTTTCAAAGCAGATACATATCTGAATGTATCCCTACTTTTCCAATGAAGGCAAATACCTTTAGAAGCTTTGTCATTGTTGAAGGCATTGAGCAACTAGTAAGGAAATGTCTTGGAAAGGATGACAGCAGGGAACAAGGGAGGGAACAATGTTTCCTGCGAGCTTCCTACAAGAAAACTCAATGGAGAAGCCAGCAGGAAGTCAGAAGGTGCTTTCTCTCCTTTTTTGCCCATCTATGGTCATTCTGTTTCTGTTTGGGTAAGGAAATATCTCTGGACAGCAGGACTAGAACTCAGAAATCTGTAACAACACAAGACAGTATAAACAAGTGGATTTTAAATCTTTATTTTTAAATTAAATTAAAAAGTGGAGTAATTACAGTACAAAAATATTTTTTACCTAATTGACCGATACATCATGAAATCAATTGTTGTACATCTAGGAAATTTACCAATAGAACTTTCTTCAACTGGTGTATAAACCTTAATTTGTCGCATATGTGTATCTCTTCCATTCTGATGATTGGCTAAAACTGCAATCTGAATCATAAATGTGCGAATAGGTTTCTTATGAGTGTCAGTTAAGGGAACATGAATCCAACCACTTGGCTCCACTAATTCAAGTTGCTAGAAAGTAAAAGAAAGGCGTGTTAGGAGAAACAGAGAGAGAAAGAATTGGTTAGAATTAGGTTCAAATGATTTATTCGCATGAGCAATAAAATTAATATCTAATCTTTCAGAAATTTGGCAGATATAAATAAGTTGTTTTTTAATATGCTACAATCACTTCTCTTGATAAATATACTCCTGTGCTCTCCTCCACGTGGCTAATTAATATACAAATCACAAAGGTGAATCTCTCCAATCCTTCATGCTGTATAACTCAAGTTGTTGCATTTTAATGACATGTTATTTTTGTGACACCAGGAGCATTCACATGTAGTGGTAAATTCTTCCCATGAAAATGCTGTTAGTACACTACATACAGTACTATTTGATGACTTGTAAATAGATTTTGCAAGAAACCCATATAACTCCATCCATAATTTAGAAATACATGTAGGATCTCTAATTTTTCTAAGCATCAGAAATCAAGAAATGCACCTTCTGACTATTGTTTATTCTGATCTACACACTGCAACAAATAAATCACAGACATTTATGTTGGTTTGTTATTAATGCCTGTTATGTTTTTTTTTCATAATTTAACCAAAATATTGAAAATTGTAGCTTATTGCTGTAAGCAAATAGGTCCAGTAATATGTTCCATAAATCATATTTGGATTGTAAATATGGTCTTGCAGCCATTTAATTTTACAAACTTCATATCAGAATGTATAGCATATCCACATGGATAGCTATGCTATAGCAAAGTGTTAAAACTAAGATGTTAGCGGGAGACAGAAAAGTGAATTTTTGAATCTAAAAATAAGATATTAATTAAAATCAGTAATAAAAAGATTGATTTTTTTAAAAACATAACATTAAAGGTAATTATATTCAAGTTTACTTAAAAGGAGGTGCCATGTAATTCACTACAATGTGTATCTAAAAGCTAAATACAGAATATATGAAGCACTTTTTTTTACTTTAAATCAACTTTTAAAAATTGTGTATCATACCATGATGATACTTTATTAAAATCAATAGAATAGTCATAAAATTGTATCTTGTTTATATATATAATTAAATGAATGGAAGGTAAGTTTCTCATTTTCTCGCAATCTCCACAGCTACCTGCACTTCTTGAATGATATCTGTAATTGGTTAATGGATGGATTTTTAGTGGAATTTTGGGCAGAAGTCCAGCCAATTTTGAGTGACGTACTTCTCATCCAGTAGTATTGTACTACTGTACTATTATATCTCCCTCAGCAGAGTCTCCTGACCACCCAGAGATATTTTTGATGGATCATTAGAATCACTGTTAATGTAACTGGAGTTCCTCATTACGATCAGTGGTACCCAACCAGAAAATGCTGCTCACCTATCTATTTATTTGAACAATTGTTCCTTAATATAAAAGTTTTACATTCAGGCTAGCTTTTGTATTCTGAAATGTTTGGAATCCATTTATTTCAAACATTTCTGGCAATTTATTACAGATTTCAGACTCAATTTTTCAATAGTAAAATATTTTTCAGCCGTTGCTCCCTAAATCACATTTTGTCTTTAGTTCACTAAACATTCAAGTCATCTTTGTGCTCCCTGCTTCCAAGTCTCCTTTTCTTAGCTGTTGCTACATCCTCTTCCATCTGCTTTTTGATTGGAAGGATCCAGAGTTAGCTGAAAGATAGCTGGCTATTTAAATGTTATGTTATGTTATGTTGTGTTGTGTTATGTTGTTGGGTTGTTAAAAAAACTAACCCTTCTTTCACCTCTTCTTTGCAACTCTGTTCTTTATAGCAGAATTTAGGCTGCAGAATGCTATTCAGATTCTTACCAGATTTCTTAAAATTATGACATTAAGGTGTATGTTACTCTACAATACAGTGAAGTTTTGTCTACTAGTAATATTATCATTGTCTGACTGATATCATCTATAATGGCAAAAATCAAACTTTTTCTCCTGTGTATTGGCTGTATCCTTGTTGATACATATGTATAGTTTGTGAAAAATGAATCCTTATCCTGAATTCTGCAACTTTTGATCAAGATCTCCCACGTATCATAATATTAACTACAAAAAACCAGTTTAAACATGCTGCTGTGTAATTTCAAAACTGGAACTGTCAACACATAAAGGTGCAAATTTTGAGTGCCTGCCATTTCTTTGCTTAGGAAGGAAGAGAACAGTTAATAGTAAATGATGTACCAATTCCAGCAAGAAAGTGAAGCATATCCAAGAGAAACTTCAGAAATTCCAAATGAGTCAAAAGGAAGAACACCACAGGAGAAACTTTATGAGAAACACAGAAGGTAGCTCAGTCAAAGGACTCACTGTAAAGAGGCAAGCTCATTGGTCTAGACAAGTAACGACCACCTAAGTAGGTGACTGTGTGGCCCTCAGTCACTTCCTGTAAATGGTCTAGATATGGCTAGTTCAGAGCATTAGATCAGAAAAGCTTTCTACTCGCCAAGAAGCTAAAGCAGACATTCCTGACTAGCCCACAAAATATACCCAGACACAAATAAATGCCTAATGTGATTATAACTTTAACAACAATTTAAAAGAAAACATTTAAAACAAGAAAAACCATTAAAATTTACAGTGTTATGGAACGACATTGGTCAACACATTCCAATAAAGTTTTAAAGGAGATGGGGGAACCTCTGCTTCCCCATAAACTGGTAAACTATAACTTCTACCACTCCTCAGCATGATATAGGGCCAGGATGGCAGCTTAATAACTGTTTTAGAGAATGGGGAAATCTGCTTTATATATAGGGCTTCTTTCAAACATGGAAGTAGGATAAAATGTTGTGAGTTGGCTAGAGTTGTGTTTAAAAGTTAGGCAGCTGAATATATTTGTAAATAAATAAATGGAATCGAGTATAGACACCTATGATTATGCATTTTGCTATGTACAGACATAGCAGACAATGGTTGTATAATACTTTTCCCATGTAGGAAAAGAATGCCATATTTCATACTGTGGTATAAATTAAAATGTGAAAAGGGTATTAAAAATCCAATTTCCTCAGAATAATTTCTAAAGGTAAGAAAATCACATTTCCCCCAAAACGGTAACTAATATATACAGCTACAATAACAAATTCTGGCACTGTTAATTGAACCAAAGAAGAATTAAATCAATTGACTATCAGCTAAGCTCTTGAGAAGTTGATATCTTAGAGAGACTGTGTCAAGATTAAACTGCTTTGCTTCTTTCGGAACCTGATCACTATTCAATTTGCCAATTAGCTTGGGGGAGGGAAAGATGGAATGGAATGTTGAGATGTTGTGCAGAGTGTGAGAGCCGGAAACCATCAAGGCCATCACTTCAGATACTTGAGAAGGAGGTGGATTGTTCCCATAACAAAAGGACATCTCATAATTGGACAATGTGAACACCCGGGGGGGGTGGGGGTGGAGAAAGGGAAGCTATTGTTTAACTAAGCAAGACTTTGTGCGGGAAAACCAGAGCTGGTTTTGATTCTTTAGTGCCAAAATGGTATATCCAATAAAGTTTTACTTTTGGTAATTCAAAGCTCCCGAGATTGTTCACTTCTTTTGGGTCCGCTAGTTGGACAGTTGACAGACTTTATATGTGGTACCACTCTTTTGGATTTTAGCCATTATACTTTATTGATAACAACACTGAGAGATACATATAATTCTTGTTTGGTCTACCTTCCATATATGATATCACTAATAGACTTTATAAGATAACAAATCAATAATTAGTTAATTAATAAATAATAAATTGTAAATAATAAATCACAATAAATCATAATCATAATCAATAGTAAATTTAATAAAGTTAGAAATTCCTGAAATAGATGCTTTAAAATCACATTTTTGTTCAAATATACATGGAAATAAATAGATACATGTAACAATATCAGTCAACGTAATCTGGGACTATTTCTGTACTGTAATTCAGATATATGCTACATAAAATAAGCACATATCTCATATCTTATCAAGGTACATTTAGGGATTTCACAGTTATTACTAGTCTCTTCTTTGATGGTAGTATATTACTAAGTAGTCCATATTAGATGGACTTTGGAAAATAAAATATTACCAAGTATTACTGAACACAAAAATTTAGAACAAGATTAACATTCACACAAAAAGTGGAAATATACACAAATGACTGGCTAAAATTTAGATAATACCTCATACAATGATTTAATATATTTATTTTGCAGATGATACATCTCTCTAAATGATTGTCACATTGGATTGTTTTAAGAATGACAACATGTCCGGTCTATTGGTTTTATGCTATTTCAGCCAAGATCTGCAGACAAAGTGTTCTGTACAAACAAAAGAATTTTCTAAACAATCATATTTGATAACTTGCAGCTTCTCCAAAGCATTAGTCTTTAATTATTGGAATGAAACTAATGGACTGCACTCTGACCTAAAGTGGAAGACAAGATGGGTCACTATAATATGAGTTTAGGACTATTTTTTTTCATACAATTCCTCCCCCACCCCGACATTAAAGAGAGATGCCAGATTAAAATATGCCATAGTCCCTGTGGCTTACGTGAATATGAAAAAGAGTTGATAAACAAAGCAAAGAAATACTGGAGTAGGATTCATATCTTCATACAGAAAATTCTTAAAATGTATATAAAGGTAAAATCAGAGATTTATATTTAAGACCTAATGGACAAAGACTTTGAAAAAAAATGGAGCTTTGATGTTATATATGCTGATAGCCGCAATAATGCTCTATGCATAAAAATGGAAAGATACTTTAATTCCTACAATGGATAACTGGCTGCAAAAGCTGGTGGAGTTAGCAGAAATGGCCAAATTGATTGCTTTAAAAAAAGAATACAACTAATTTTGTATCTACTTGAAAACCGCTTGGGGATTTTGGGCTTGAGGTGGAAAAAAATAAAACTTTGATTTTAGTTTTGCTAATTAGTTTTCTATTATAGAAATGGCTAGTAATATTACTATGTAAAAGTAAAAAGCTGAGGTTGTATTTATTACCTTATTCTGGTGTTAAAAAGAGTTGAAAGTCAATGCTTTTCTTTTTATTTTCCCTTTGACCCTACATTTTATCCTTGTCTACTTTCCCAATATTTTCCTTTTTCTTTTATATTGCAATAAAATAACAAATATTAAAAAGAGCTTGATAGATATAGATTATCCTGGAACAGGTTTTCTCAACCTTATCGACTTTAAAGAAAGTGGACTTCAAACTCCCAAAATTCTCCAGCAACACTGTTCTAGAGCACGGGGGTCAACCGTCACATGATGTTTCACGATGTTTTTTACCTTCGTGGAGCTGGGGTAGGCATGGCCTTCACGTGATGTGTCCGGCCTGCAGCCCGCCAGTTTGACACCCCTGTTCTGGAGTAACAAAACATAAATCTACAAATGTTTCTCTTCAGCACAAAAAATAATTTTTTAATGTTAATTTTTCCTACTAACATCAGAAAACATTCCAGCACTGGCTGTTTTATTTTTCTCCCTTCCTACCCCCCTCTCTTGCATTTGGTTAATTGACCAGTCCTACTCTGCACTAGGTGTGTGTTATTTGTTTTGCAAAGATCACCTATGAATATAAAATGTGTCCATTTGTTACAGGGATTATATTAGTGTAAGAACTCGGCATAAAACTGCAATGCCTTTTGAAATAATGTATTTTACAGTAAACTGCCAGGAATCCCTTCCCCTCAATTCTTCACTAAGGCTTCAACCCCCGTTTCCCAGGTTTTTTTTGAGGTTCCCCAAACGTCAGAAGAAATTTGGGGGTATGCAGCAGACCGCAACTGAGACCAGGAGACGTCCCCTGCATCAGATTCTGGCACATTCTATTCTAATGTTCTATTAGACTTAGATTATTCTAAGCTACAGAGAATAAATAACTAGTTATTATTTCTACTATTATATTGCATGCTGTTTTTTAGTACTATGGCTTGAAAGACTCATGGAAAATATTTTTCTTCTACTTCCAGTCTTTGCATATTCAGTTGGTCCTGTTTTTTATCATTTATAATGGAAAAATACTATGAATGTGTCAATGAAAGCTCATTATTTACTTCCAGAATTGTTTGTTATGTCTAGACAGAACTACTGAATATGAATAAAGGAACAAATAAAACATTATAAGCTAAGCAATGGCGTTAAAGTATTTTTGGATCTGTACAATTTCAGCAGGTGAGAAAACTTTCTTATACAGGTAGTCCTCAACTTACAACAATTCATTTAGTCACCTTTCAAAGTTACATCATAACTGAAAAAAGTGACTTATGACCATTTTTCACAGTTGTGACTATTGCAGCATCCTCATGGTTGTGTGACCAAGATTTGGATGCTTGGCAACTGGTTCATATTTATGATGGTTGCAGTGTCCCTAGATCACGTGAACACCTTTTGTGACTTTCTGTTAATGAGGAAGCCAGATTCACTTAACCGGGTTATTAATTTAACGACCACAATTATTCACTTAACAACTGTGGCAAGAAAAGTCATTAAATGGAGCAAAACTCACTTAACAAATGTCTCACTTAGCAACATAAAGTTAAGGACTACTTGTACTAATATAACAGCTTCCTACTTCATTTATAGTTTTTGCAAAATACAAGCTTCTAATTACATATAAAAAAATCATGAGCAAAAAAACAACAACCCTGAAGTAAAAGCTGAAATGCTATAATCAAATAAATCTTTGGAGCTATTTTTACTAACCTAAATGGTGTATTAGGGGGAAATCAGAAAGGTTGGTTCTATCCACTACATATTCTTCCATCTTATTCCCCTGCACCTTGCCATTTTCTGTACAAATGAATACACATTTAAAAATGTCTGTTTATAAAGACTAAGCATATCACTTGTATCGATAAGGAAAGCTCTAACCAGAAATACATATGGAAATATTATGTTCAATTAATATTTTCATCTTTCGGTGTGTAAAAAACCAGCTGTAGGGGTTTTGCAGCAATATGCAATGATATGAATACCTCAGTTGAAGATCTACAAAATAGTAACAGAGTTTTTGTGTGGCAAAGCTGGTACTTTAAATTGAGGAGGGGGGCTAATAAAGTCAGTTTTGTTGTTTAGAGACTGTTTTTCCAATTGCATTTAAAGTTTACACAATCTGTCTTCTTTTAAGAAAAAGAAAAAAGTTTATAAATTTTTAAAGGTTCTGTTAAAGATGGTGCTGCTGATCGCAGCCCCAGTGAAATGTTCTCTAGATGATTTATCAATTATAATTTATTTATAATTTATCAGTTATAATTAATGATTGTAACTATAATTTATGATCTATGATTATTACTTGCTGTTTTATGTACACTATGAGCTTATGCACTGGAGACAAATTCCTTGTATGTCTAATCACATTTGGCCGATAAAAAACATTCCATTCCATTCCAAATTAGCTTGAAATTCTTATTTCATACATGTAGAAGTCAAAGAGAACATTACTTCTTACCTTTTTATCTGCTAAACTTTATACATGGTAGTATACAGGGTAGGGTAAAACAAGCATTTTATAAAGAACACTGTGGATTCACATGAAAAGATTATCTCTATCAATTCTTTGTTGGTTTTGTTTTAGAACCAGGATTTTGAGCGATCTAAGGCAATAGTGTTATTTCAATGCCAGATCATTATCTCAGCAATAAATATAGCAACTGTATCAGAGAAAACCATGTTTTTAAAAACTGAAGAGGATATCCTACATTCCAAGTATAACAATAAATTGTAATTGCTTGCATGTTTTCTATTCCTGACCACCTACAAGTTATTCCATTATGATTACCCTGACCTGTATATTATAACCAGCAACATATTTTTGCTTTAAGCAGGTCACCAACAATAAAGAGATGTTGAAGATTGGAAAACATCGTTTAACTAAATGAAAGCTAAGAGAAATGACATATTTTGTAAATAAAAAAGGAATCAACAGTAGCTCTTTAAAATTACTTTTTCCTGCATCTTGTATGGGAATTTAAGAACACTTTTAACTAAATACAAATGTAACTACTCTAGTCAATTATATTTAGATCATATTGTCAGACAGCTCTTTTTAAGACTAGTGTCAAAAGTGCTTGACACAATCTTTTTTAAAAAATCAGAAGCTAAGGGATAGTTCATCTAAAATGAAAATCAAGTTTAATACCTTCAATAGTTATATACCAGTATTAAATTATATTTTCCCCAACTACCACACATATATAAACACAAACATTTCTTAATTTTTTTCCTTTCAAGGCAAAAATAAGAAAACAGGTTAGAAGAGCATTGCTTTTTTTCTGAGAAAGCAGAAAAAAAATGTATTTATCCAATTCTCTCACATCCACTGTTTTTAAAACCTTTTTTATGTAGTAATGACCAACAAATTTAATAATATTCACTACAAACTTTAAAATGTAAAAGCCAAAGAGAATCAAATATTTTTTCCAATATTCTAAAGAGAACTTTTAAGGGGGGAAAATGGTGTGTGAACAACAGACACTGATGTTCACACAAGCATGCTGCGTGCAGCTCAGCAGGCGGTATTTCTGTTTTTATTGGATTAAGCCCTGGCACAATGGAGCTTCAATGTCATAACTGCTTATTTCACTACATGCCAGCCTTGAAAACAACAGGTAAAAAGAAAATAAAGCCAAGGACATAAAAAGAGAAAGCTGCACCCTACCTATTTTTTTCTTGTCAGAGAGTCACAAGCTAGAATGTTCTTAATTCTTCATTTCAAACTATATAATTTATAACCATGACACAAATAAGGAAGAAGCACAAAGCAGAAAATACAGAAACATAACGTTCCCGAGGTTCAGTTTACAAGGACCTCACACAAAGTTTTTTTTTTTTGCTCACTAGTCTGCTAGAAACAGCATTATTTGCTAAAAATGCAAAAGCTGCCAAAAGCTATGGCCCATCTAAAGCAAACATGTTTAAGATGGAAATGGAGAGCCAGTGCTGAAGGAAGCCAGACGATAGTGTAATAAAATTTATCTTAACCCTGTTGAATAGGTTGCTCTTAAATAACTGTAAGTAAGTTGTGCTCACACATCAACGATCTGAGTTATACAAAATACATTATGTTAATAAGAGAAGTAATCAGAAAGTTTGAATGTGATTAAGCTATTTCCCCTCCCCCATCTGTCAAGTTATTGGGAATTCAACACTAGTCTTGGTTCACATGCTAGAACAATGGGAAAATTTTCCGAATGGTTGAATGCTAACCCTGACAAGTGTGGAGAGCCAACTACAATACATTATATGGTAGCATAACCTGCCACCCACGAAGCTGAGAGCACAGCTTTCAAACACATGCAGTGAGCTGTAAAACCACAAAATCCCTTATTACATATTGTCTCTCTCACTTTAGGTGAAACATACCATCATTTCCCCCTCATTACAAATCTAATGGACTTTTTTGGGGGGGAGGGCTAGCTTTCCAATCAACTAAATAATCATTTTAAATATCAGGTGCAATGCAAATCATTGCTTTTCAAAAGACAAAAACAATCACCTTTCTCTGGCTTATAATGAATCTTAGCATGTCATATTTGTTACTTTTAATTTATTTAAAAAATAGAAGCCCCCCCCCCCTAATTCTTTTCCAACCCAACCCAGTCTCTTTCTATTTGATATTTCTTGATATTTAAATAGACCATGAATTGGAGCAACTATATTGAATTCTGCTTTGTTGGAAAAATGAGTGTGTTATGCTAATTTTTCTCATAGCTGTGAAGGATATGTAAAAATTTAAAAATTTTTTAAAGGTAAATCATAGTGATATGCCAATAGTTTTCTAATATTATATAGAAAAGCTGAATTTTTACACAATAGATGCTTTCTTCCACTGCATACTGACAGCTTCACAAAAACAAATTTTAGGATACTCAGATGTACTGCTCTAGATGTTGGCTTGTTAACGTAAAAATCAGGCATGGTTACAGAATGTCAAACATACTCCACCCTCATTACAACAGAGTATAATCACCAGCCAAACTCTCATTACAACAGAGTGCAATCACCAGCCAAAATTTGTGATTTCATCAAAAAAAAAGTTAAAAGGAGGGGGAGGCAAACTGAAATAGGAGTGTATTAGTCAAATTCTTAAAAATATGTTCCAAGACAAAAGAAAACTTTTTAGTAAATGTTTTCACTAAATGTTTTACTAAAGCATTTGTGTTTATGAAAAGAGCAAAACCCCATTCAAACATTTAGTATGTGCACATTTGGTACATGATCTCCTAACCTCTATGTGACTGACTCATACATTCCACGTTCTTAAGACGATGTTCCAGTTTCTTATGGAACTTTTTAACTTGTAATATTGTTGGCAGAGGAAACTTGTTTGGTATGTTTGTTATTTAGCGACAGGGTCAATGAGT